TTTTTTTTTTTTTTTTTTTTTAATTTTTATGCATACATATATGCTTATAATGTATGCATATATGCATACATTTTTATGCTTATCCTTTGACCTTAAACAATCCAAGGACAAATAGAGATGAGATTTGAAGAGAACAAAAACAGCAATCTGTCCTCAGATTTGCCTTTAGCTGAAGAATTGATGACAGGCAAAGTATTTCATCTGCTTGTAACTCATAACACCTGCCTTTTCACGAGCAGCTTCTGGTGCTTCTTTTTGTTTGTGAATATTGTTGATAGGCTGAGTGACAATTACTGCCATTAGCTTTCTAAAACATGATCGTTTCTACCAACTGAAAATGTCTTCAAAAATCCCAAGGAAGAGATAATTATCTTATTAGACTAATATAAGCATATTATTTTTATTATTTTATACAAATATATCTATAAATAACACGTTATTCCATGAAGAGAAAATGCTAAAGTACAGGGACCTGAAGGAGGAAAAAAATCTGTATTAATGTGAACTTATATAAAAAATAAAGCAACCAAAGAGTTGAGTTCAATCACGTATTTGTTAGGAATGGAGGGATCAGTATACTCCCTACATCATGAGCTGTCATGAGACACCTTTTGGCCCACTGTAGGTGAAGTCTTGCCCTAGACTGCAGCTCCTCTGCTTGCTGACAGCGGTGTCAACCCCAGCATCTCAGGGAGCCCCCAGCCTTCTCTCTATGATGGTCATATTTCCCCTGTGGTGTTATTCCAGTTGTTCCTGGAGAGATTTTTGGTTTCATTCCAAAATCAGATGTGTTCAGGCTAACTAAGAGTCCTTCTTTCCTGTCTGCCCTCCAGAAAACTTTGCCTGCAATGGAGATCCAAATACATGATGTGCTGCAACAAGCAAAGAAGGAACTACAAAAGTACTCACAAAGCACACACAAAACTGACCGTGAGAAAATGCTTTTCCTTGCAGGAGTAAGTATTAATACTGCTTCAGTTACAGAGCAGAGCAGACCCTTCTAAAGAAAGCAAGGTAACAGAACGGACCAGGGAGATTCTGGAATCTGTCACTGAGAGGTCTCAGTGAGTAGACCCCTGAGTATGTGAGTATCCTGAGTAGAATCACAGGATATCCCAAGTTGGAAGAGGCCCACAAGCTCCAGGTTCCACACAGCACAACCTGAAATTCAGACCCTCTGTCTGAGAGCATTGTCCAAATGCTTCCTGAACTCCAGCACTTGGAGCTGTGCCCACTGCCCTGGGCAGCCTGTTCCTCTGGTGCAGAACCAAGCAACCAAGAGCTAAGAGCATGAAAGATACAAGGAAATAATGCCTTCAGTCATGTCTGTAATATCAAATGTCTGTGGATTTAATGAACACCTACAAGTTAGTCTGAAGAAATAAAGCTTCAGTACTTTGTTTTTTGTGTTCCTTTTTGATTCATTACAGTTGATCAAAGTGTTTAATGAAGATATCTCTCAGGCAATGTATGGAAAGGAATCCTGGTTTGGAAATGAAATCAGATTGTTTCCAAAAATCCGCAGAGAGTTTCATACATGGGGAGTAAAGGTCCTGGAGAGCACTGCCAAAGGTAAGCATAGAAAATCTGAGAGATTCCATCCCCTAGCTTTTACATTAAGAGACAACATCATCAATATGTTGTTGTTTAAAAATAATAATAATAATAATAATCTAGGAGAAGATGAAATCTGCAGTAATGTTTTACTTACACATTGGCCCTTAGGGACAGAGAGACCCAGCTTGTGCAAATCACTGTCCTTACAGAGAGATCATTTGACTTCTCCCAAAAAAAAGCAATAAAATAAAGACTGGCCTTGGCAGAGAATTAACTGCTGATTCTCTGAACTATTCCTCTAAATAACAGCAGCAACCATAATAAAAATAATACTTACATTATAAATTAATTGTTGTTGTCATTAATGTTTTGGCATTTTCATCTTCTGTTCAGCTCTTGTTTAAGATGGGGGAGAAACAATTCCAAGTCTACAATAACTATAACCCTGTAAGGAGTAGCCCTTTTTGTTTTTGGAGATAACATAGCAACATTTGCTAGTCAAGCAGTAACTCTTTAATCAAGTTTAGTCTTTGATGCACATTTATTTTGTCAACATCTCTAGTGGCTATAAAACAATAGGTATAAACAGGCTGTAGACAAATGGTCAGCCAGAGGCAAATACTATAGGGAGACAGAACAGACACTGCTGTCTGTCATTGTTTCTCATGTCCTGTCCATGGTGTACCAACATGACTTTATAGAGAGGGGGGGGGGGGGGAAAAAAGAGTAAGCTAATTAAGGCACTGAGCAATGAGTGCCAACTTCCTTCTGCAGTAAATGTGTTGCTTTAAAGATGAGTTCTACTGAAGAGCATTTTCTAAGAGATTTCTTTCTTAATCAAAAAATTTATGAAGTAACCTAGTAGTAAAGCAGTGTTCTTTTAATATTACAGTTGAAGAAATCATACGCAGTAAAGCGTCCAAATATGAACACCTGTACCGTGGACGGGAGTTCCCAGGCTTTATCAGCTACTGGATATTTGAGGACATTATAAAAGAGCAAATTTCAAAGCTGGAGGAGCCAGCTGTTGTGATGCTGAACAAAGTGATCTGTACGTCTCACAGGCCACACAAGGCCATCACATGGGTGACACTGGTGTACCTGATAATTTTGTGTCCAGAACAAGCCACTTATCATTAATGGAGTAACAGCTCCAGTTGGGATGCCTTAATGTGGAAGTGAATCCCACTCAAACTGTGAGATTATTCCTTCTCTAGAGCTGAGACCTCAAATCTCTGCATATGACCTTAACAATTTTTTAGTACACTTCCCTGTGGCTGGGAATGGGGAATTAGAAAGTAACTATAATACATAATACTGCAAAGAAATAGTATCCTGGAATGCTATTTGGTGCCAGCTGAGCTGGCTGATATTGCCAGGCTCAGTTAATGGGATTCATAAACCAGAACTGGGAATCCAACTTCTTTGCCAGTTCTTTGCATAAGGGTATATATATTGCACAGTGACTAATGGGGGTGGGGGAAGGGATAACTCATCCTGTAAGTATCACATAAGGAAATAGTACGTCACGATCATTTCTCTGCCATGTTTGCTTTAGAAAACAGCTACAGCATCTGTGCCAGTCAGGGCCCTGTATTACAGGCACCAGCCCCTCTCCTTGGAGTGGCCACTCTGGGGATGAGAGGCAGATGTGCCTATGTGGCCAAGCGATGACCCACCTGGTCAAACTGAAAGCACATAGATTGCTTTATCTAAGAAGTCTCAGGGTTATTAAATATCTGACATGGTGAGTGGTCTTTAGTGACTCATGCACGTGGGCCTAGAGATCTAAATTCCTTTTTATTTGTATGGTCATAAAGGTGCCTTACATCAGGATGGATTCCCAGCTATTTTAGCATGAACACAGAGAGACAATGGTTTTTCCAGGCCTCATATTGACAACAACTTAAAAACCTCATTTTCTTACCTGACTTTGTTTTGTCTGTCTGTTCTTCCCTTAGGTATGGTTGAAGAGAAATTTTTGCAGCTGGCTAACAAGCATTTTGCTAATTTTCAGAACTTAAACAAAGCTGCTAAGGTGAGGGACTAGCCAAAACCTGAGATAATTCAAGAGCAAAACAGAATGACGTTTGTAAATATAGCCACGCTGATGGCACCTATTCCATCTCATTACATGCAACAATGTGATTTCCTGACAGTCTATGATTTTTTATAAAGTAAGACATTTCAAACAACTGCATGTTTGTAATGGCACTAATGAAAGCACACTCTACCTTTTGGTGCAATGTTGACAAGATCTAAAGCATACATTCTCCATTCATTTTGGTCATATTCTTGACGCACACAACACAGTGCAAAGAAAAGCTGGTATGGCTGCCACGAAGAGCTTAGTAACTTCAATTTTAAGTCCTGAAATGTTTTGTTAGCATGTGGGCAGCCTCGCAGCACAGTGCTTTTGCTTTCTGAAAGGCAAGCCAGTGTTAGCCTGGGCAGGCATCACACTGTTGATCAAAGGCAGTAGTAGCTAATGAGCAGGCCATTTAACCATGATAGAGTTAGAAGATCCCTTTTTGCAGTTTGGAGTTTTGGAGGTGTCCAGGTTTTGGGTGGATGCCCTTGAATACCTTTTCTGGGAAAGATCTTTGAAGAAGAGGTGAGGGGCCTGCCATGAAGAACAATCCACACACAGGGCACTGCTTGATGGGAAACTCATAGGCAAATGCAACAACTGTCTGCTGTGTAACTTGCACGGCCAAACCCTATTGAAGTCCCAGAACAAATAAACAGGAACCAAACAAGCTATTTCTGCCAAGCACAGAGGTGTGGTGTCTTCAGGCATAACACAATGAGAGGAAGTGTAGCAGAAATGCTAACTCGCGGCCTGAAGGAGTGACCTGGTGGGAAGGCAGGGCCAACCTGGGGAGCTCAGGTGCAATGCACCTGAGTGACCAGAAGGGATGGAGCTAGGATCCACCCCTTCCCAGACCTCATTTAGGGGCTGGCAGTGGAGATAAGTTTATCTTGCTGGAGATCCTTGCTTGCTGGAAGACTTCCAAGGTAAGCAGCTTTTCTTCTTTTGTTGCTGCATCCATAGCTGCTGCATTTGGGCTTGTTCTCATTTGGAGAACAGTCTCACAAGGATTGTGCCACTGTGCTAATTATTGCTATACTTTCCATCACATTACAGAATTACAGGAAGGAAGAAAAGAGGAGATTCTGATAGACTCTGAGGGAAAAACAAAAATTTTATTCTGATGCAGGAATGCTAAGTTAGCATTTTAAGAGACCTTGGATGAAAGAGGAGCTTATTGCCTCTGCAGGCAGATGGTAGCACCAAAACGGTGAAAAAAAACATGTAATTTTTTTAAAAAAATTAAATTTTAATTTTAATCTAGATGCTAGATTGCTATGGGTTAGATAGGGCTGGTTTGATGACAACGGGTAAGAAATCATGCTTTTGAGAATGGTGGGAGGGGAAATGGGGCTCACATCAGTACTGCTGCTACTGCCTACTTCAAGGAGATTCAGCTGAAATGCATGCAAAAGCAATCAAAAACTGAGCAGGTGCAAAAACTGAGGGCAGGCTGAACTCATCACTGGCAGTTGTTGCTTGTTCCAATCAATCTTGGGATTTTCCTTTGGGATACAAGCACCAGGGTTAAACTTGATTTGACATGATCCCACTTGTTTCTCATGAGGGGACCAAACACCACATTTTCCTGCACTTTCCTGGGAGAGGAACCAGAAGCTAAAACATCAAAGTATGCACCAAGAGCCAACCTGGGATTAGCAATTTGCAAGTGCAACTACATCCACTTCACCACCCTGAAGGATATTGCTAAGCATCTCAAAACTTGTTCTTTTCCTTTCCAGGCCAGAATTGGTTCCATTGCAGACAGACAAGCAACGACTGCGAAAAATTTCATCTTGACTCAATTTAAAATGGAGAGAATTGTATACTGCCAGGATAACATTTACGCAGATGATTTAAAAGCTGCCCGGGCAGAAAGCATCAACAAAAATACAAAAATCAAAGACCTTGGTCTTGCAACTGCTTCAAGTCAAGGTCCCAGATTTGTCCTGGAAATGGTTTCTCACACAAAGGCCTATTTCACTGTAAGTCTGCAGACTGCAAGGCAGTACACCAATGCCCTTTGGCTGACTTCTCCTATGGGAACAAGAGCTAGGGGGATGAAAGGACTGTTACTTACCTGCCTTGGGGGAGAGGAAAGCAAGGGGAAGAGCCCTTAGCCCTGTAATAAGAAATTAATGACATCTGGATGATGGCAAGCCCTATTGCTCCAGTAAAAGAGCTGTCAGATTCTAAACTCAGGGGGCAGGATGAGTTGTAGTCAAATAATTGGTTAAAATGGATTTGGCTCTCTGTAGAGATCAGAGTGGCTATGCCACATCGCATACAGCTCAGAAGTTAAATGGAGATAAATGGGATACTTTAACAAAAGATCATTTTAGAGCAAGACAGCCAAGAGAATGCACAGTATGAGAATATGCTTTTGATCTTTGTTTCATAAACTCCCTCAGTAAGCACCAAGTTAAATATTAATGCACTAACTTAGGTAGTGGTTCAATTTCAATAGAAAGGTTTCCGAAACATTGCTGCAACTGAATGTTCAGGCTGTTCTTCCAGGTTTTTGCATTGGGAAGCTTTCAGAGAGCAAAAGACAAAAGCAGAATTGCATAAAGTTCTTCCCTTCAGCCTCAGATACTTTCTACTATACCACAGAGTCTTGAAGGATAGTTGTATATTTGTAAATGCCCTAAACACCCTTTTTAACAGTAACCAAATACCAGGGCATCACAGCTCTTGGACACTTGGAGCCAAATACATGAGATGAAATCAGATTAGAGCTCTTAAGTCCATGGTACTTGAAAATGGCATGCCTGATCCCATGTCAATTAAGAAAGGTCAAGATTCTGTGTAAGGTTTAGCACCGGAATAACAAAATACATAGGCTCGGTAAGCACCCTGCTGACTCTGCTGAATTGCTCCATTTTGACTAGATCTCTGCAAACTAGAAAGAAAAACTAAATATCTAGTCTTTGGTATTTTTCATTGTCCTTTGTAGATGAAAGATTTACATCTACAGCTGCTGAGGTAAAGCAGTATCTGAAGCCAGAAAAGACCAAGACTTTGCTGGAGATGGGTGGCCTAAGTCCTTTAGGACTTCCAAATCAAATATGCCTCTACCTGGTCTAGCTGCTGGCATCTTCAAGTCCTATGTCACCAAAAGAAAGGAAGATAGAACCTCTGTTATTTGTAGCCAGACACTCATGTTGAAGTGCTCTTCTAGTCGCAGAATAATTCTTATCAAGGTTAGCACAGAGAGAGAGAAACTGGGAGTGGCCTGCCTTGGGTTTAGTTCACTGAGGGAGAAAAAAATAAAGCTACAGCTGACAATCCCATAAATCTTAACTTCTGGATTTTTTTTAGGAACAAAAGGAATTAATGGCTTTAAAAGTGTGCAGTCACTTTGTAACAGAGCACCTATAGCCCGTTTTATCTTCTTTTAGGAAAGCAAGTCTTCACTTTTTTTTTTTTTTTTTTTTTTCCTCCTCCTTGTAGGGAGCAAGTAAACGCCTGAGCAATCAGATTCCTCTGATCATCCTCTCTACTGTTCTTCGTGACTTTGGAGATTATTTGCAGATCTCAATGTTGCATCTCTTGCAAGAAAAAGAAGAATTAAACCACTTACTCCAGGAAGATCATGAAGCTGCTAACCAGCGGAAGTTACTAACCAGCCAAATTAGTCGCCTCAACAAAGCCTACCAGTACCTAGCAGACTTTAAGTCTCTGTAGATTTCCTCATCTTTCAGAAGTATTTTTCTGCTTTTGCTTTCTAGCATTGATGAGGAGCTTCGCAAAATCCTCCAACGCAGCAACCTTTAATACCAGTTTCTAGATTTTTCTAATGATTTAGTGGTCTAGTTCTGTCTTAATTTCCATAGTCTGATATGCCTACCCTTGTCTAAGCTCCACTGCAGTAGTTGTGATAAAATGTTATCCCACTTTCAACCATTCATTATAAACTTTGTCTTCCATACAACATCAAAATATATTTTCTAAAAGCTTGAGCTCTGACGTAGGTGGTTTTGGTTTTATTTTTTAAGGGATGGGGAGCCTTCAGCTGTGGAACCCAAAAACTGCAAAAATCCTATCACGTAACTTTTCTAGATCTCTGTGATTTTGCTGTGGTTGTTGTATTGCCTGCCTTGCATAGAAGATACTCGTGCAACGTGTTACCACTGGTAAGTTCCAACTCTGCAGATAAAGATGCTGCTCACAGTGTGTCTGAAACAGTTCCAGCCTAAAGGGAAATAACTGCAGCTGATAAGTATACTCACAGGATGATGTTAGGATTCATTTCTCTTTTTTCTCTGACTTATATGGTTATGGTTAGAAAACCAAGATGTTTTTCTATTAGGTGCCTGGACCTCTGCCTGAGATTTTGGGGTTGATGGTGGATTTACCAGACCACTGGATTGGGTTGTATGTAACAGATTAATCCACAAGACACTGAACAGTGAAAAGATGCCTCAGCACATAGCATGCTACCTGCTATCTCCTCCTTCTCAGGCTGAGGAGAATCTTTCCAAAAGCTGTCTTTCATTTCATGGAAGGCAGAGCAAAACGCAATACTGCACATCGTAATTGTGACATCTTTCATAAGGAGATTTTAACAGGCAAAACTTTACTCTGTGCAGTGAGTGAGGGCTGGCTGCATTCTGCTAAAAAAATGTGCCTATTCCAGTTTGTCATGTAGCAGTTCCCAAGACAAGCAGTTCCCAAGGTTACAAAAGAAGCCTTCTCTTTGTAACATGGCAGCAATGGAGGGCTGACTTCTGCAGCACAGAGCTCAACCCATTGGAGCATGCAGCATTTATAACCCTGTTAAGCACTACCAACAGTTTTCCACATCTACTAGCAGCACAGCAGCTTACAAGCCCTATAAAAACCTGATACCATAACACTGAAACACATTTAATTTTTATTTTGAATGTGCTTTAAAGTTATAAACTGCTTCATGGCATCCCCTAAGGGGCGCATGACAATCATGTGCTATTGGAAATACCCCTAGAGAAAACAGGCAGGTACACTGCTTTGGGCAGTGTGAGTTACAACAAATTAGGGTGCAATTCCCTCATCCCACTGCTTTTCAGTCTAAACTTCCCCATTTAACTCCATCTCATAAGCCCAAGTGATTTTGGCAGCCCCCTCCCCTGAAGATATCCAGTATCCCTGACCAGCCAGCTCTATTCCCCTGGCTTTACTCAGGAACCTGAAATTCTGGAGTTAAAAAAAAAAAAAAAAAAGGCAAGATAACCCTCTTGCTTTTTCTCGTCCTGCTTCTTCTTTCTTGAATGAGCTTCACAGAAGATTTCAGACATTGAGTTTAGCAACTGCTTCCAAGACATCCCAAACAAACTGCTACAAAGGAAAATTATTTGTAAAAAAAAAATATATTTTTTTATTTGGTGCAGTGTTTCCATGCAAGGTAATTGCATTTCAGTACCAACACAACTAGCGTCATTTATTTCAAGAAAATTATCCTTCTTAATAAAAGTGACTTGTTATGGCTTTTTGATCCTCTGTCCTATGATTATAAATTATTTTCCAAATCTTAGTCGAAGTGGCACTCTGATATTCATTGTATTTTGCTAAAAACATCATGCAGATACCTAACAGAGAGCCCTAAAGTACTAAAAGCCAAATTTAATAAATGAGGTAGTTCATCTGGTTAGGCAGAAACACAGGCTTGTGTCTCCTCATCCAGAACACCCAGCCCCCAGCTGGGCACTGCAGCCAGAGGTCTGCTGCCTGCAGCACACCCCACGGAGCAGCATCACATCCTCTGGATGCACGTGGCAGGGGACTTCGCTGGCAGGATGCTCAGCTGCCTCCTTTCTGCTGCAGCTCTGGAGCGTTCCTCTCTGTCACCTATATCAGGAGCGATGGCAGGTCCTGCCCTTTCAGGAGTCACAGCAGTTCGAGGCAGAAGAGCACTTGTAATTACTGAGAGGATCAGACTGATCTTACTTGGAGCAATCTGAGTTGGATGACGGCTGTCGTGATCCTGAGGATTTATAACTACCTGAATATACAGTTTGTATTTTTTTTTCCTGTGCCTCTACTAACATAGTGCATGAAAACTTCCCTTCATATATACCAAAAAACATTCATTTCTTCTTACATTGCCAGCCAGCAGCTCAGAGATTCAATATTCACATTACTTGACAGTTAATTTAAAACCCCACAAAACCAACTGTCTCAGAACCCTGCTACAAAAATCTGAAGTTGTGATTAAAATTTCTATTTTAAACCTGCACCTGATTACCAAGTGAAAGTTACTCAGCTAAAAAAAAATCTCAGCAAGCATTTAGCAGAACGACTTTCCGAGAGGCACCCCATCAATAAAGGTGCTTACTGTGATATTCCCTCACTGACTAAAATCTGTCACTGTAGCCAGCACATAATCCAGCGTGCAATCCTTCATGTTATTAAAAAAAAAAAAAAAAAAAATTCAAAGAGAAAAATCATTTGTAAAAGTGAATAAATATCCCAGGCACCCATGGCTTCATTTTCTCTTGTTCTCAGAAACATTGAATGAGAAATGGCGTTGTCATCTGTTGGCCTGTTTAAAAAAAAAAAAAACAAACAAAAAACAAAGGCTCTAGCTGTGCTGACAGACCATCTCATCAGTTGCTTGGATGCTTCTCAATGGAATAACTGAATGGAATAAGTGATTAAAGTCAAGTTTCACGACTTGGGGCATTCAGAAAGATAGAAACATTTTACCTGCATATTTTTATAAATCCAGTCTGTAAACACAGTCATATTTCCATAAACTCCAGGCCTGTTGGGACTAGCGCAGCCAGTTCCCCAGCTGGTATCTCCAACCAACCACCACACCGAGTTTTTGTTTGTTACCAGAGGACCTCCGCTGTCACCCTGCACAAAACATTGGTGCACTGTTAGTGACTGGCCACCAGTGAATCATAGAGTGGCCTGAGTTGAAAAGGACCACAATGATCACCTAGTTTCAACCCCCCTGCTATATGCAGGGTTACCAACCAGCAGACCAGGCTGCCCAGAGCCACATCCAGCCTGGCCTTGAATGCCTCCAAGGATGGGGCATCCACAGCCTCCTTGGGCAACCTGTTCCAGTGTGTCACCACCCACTGCGTGAAAAACTTCCTCCTCATATCTAACCTAAACCTCCCCTGTCTCAGTTTAAAACCATTCCCCCTTGGAATATGAGTTGGATTTCAAAAGAAAGAGCTAAAGTTAAGAGCTTTAGTTGCAAGAGAGCAACTAAAATAAAACACTATGTCAATTACTGTATTAAATGAAGACTATATGCCATAGGAATGAAAATAGTTTGCCCAAAGCACTAAACAAGACAGACTTTACTGACTTTCTTGTTCACAAGCATCACGCTACAGTAATGTAGTGATTACAAAGAGCATTTGTTCATTTTCAAGTATGAGATTACCAAACATCCTTGAAGCACATATAAAAAGACTGCCTCAGCCTCTCAGCACTGGCCCCCATGCAGAGCATGACAAAAAGCTCTCCCTTCTACAGGATGTGCCACAAAATAAACTAGAAGCCCAACTAAACTGTTAGTCATATCAGTCAATTAGAAACATATTAAAAATTCTATCAGTTTGGAATTAACTGATGATAAAATCCCTACTAATAAGAGCACAAAAAACGATCAACCAGATCACTGCTAGGTGTTAGTTAGAAATAATTACCTGACAAGAATCAATTCCTCCTTGTAAATATCCAGCACAGACCATTGTAGGCAAGACCATGCCATCGTAGACATAGACAGAATTACATGTAGAACGTTCTATTAAGAGTACCTTGGCATAATTCAAGTCACTTGCTGTTTTACCTAAAATTGAAACAAGCATGAAAACACATAAAAACAAAGACAATATTAGAATAACCATCAAGTTACATTCCTATTACAAATTTCAGTGGCTAGCATTACTCAAGACAAAATAAAATCATGAGAAACTCAGGGATGGATGCTTAAGATGAAAAGTCTGTCATGCAGAAAATACCCTGACATTTAAATTCCTTTCCCAGGGGTTATTTACTCTGCATTGCTGTTAGTGTACTGTAAGTGAACATAATAAGGACCCGCCTACTACGAGCCCAAGCAACTATATTAGCCGTAGGGCTACTAAAAGCACGTGAACAAAGCAATGAATGAAAAAGTCCTCCTCAGTTACGCGGTCCGGCACTAGGCGGCAGCAAATCCCAAATTCAGCAGCCCTGTCCCTACCCCAGACCACAAACTTCATATAATCACAGAATCGTTCAAGACGAAAGGGACCCTTAATGGCTATCTATTGCAACCCCCCTCCCCCCCTCTCCGCTGCAATGAATAGGCACACCTACAGCTACATCAGGTTGCTCAGAGCCCATCCTCCCTGAGTTTGAATGTCTCCAAGGATGGGGCATCCACCATTTCTCTGGGCAACCTGTGCCAGTGCCTCACCACCCTGATAGTAAAAAATTTCTTCCTTATGTCCAATCTAAATCTCCACTCTTAGTCTGAAACCATTTTCCCTTGTCCTGTCACAACAGACCCTGCTGAAGAGCCTGTCCCCTTCTTTCTTATATCCCCGCTTTGGATACAGAAAGGCTGCTCTCAGGTCTCCCCAGAGCCTTCTTTCCTCCAGGTTACACAGCCCCAGCTCTCTCAGCCTTCTAATACTGGCTCTTTTTTCCGTTCTCAAGTCCCACAAATTTATCTAGTCTGAAGAGGATTGGCTGTGTAGAAGACCCAAATGTGTCAGAGCCATGCTTACCTCCTTGATACTCTGCTCCCCACCCAGATATCCAGCACTCCTCATTAGGCTCGAACATCAATCCCGGGTTAGGCAGACAAACTGGCTGTATATTATCTACAAAGCAAATACAGTGACAGTCTAGCCCCAGATGTCCAGGCATAATGGACATCAAACAAGTGGATACGACATTACTCACAATGACCAGCATTTGCCTTAAGTACATACATGCTGTGCTCTTTTCTCTGTACTTTACCCCCATTGCAGTTAAGCAATACTCTGCAACGCAGGCAGCAGTGAAAAGCTAAGCAGTTGCTCCTTCCTAGAGGACTACTGCACTCTGACCTCAAAGTGATGAAGGAGCACAGTTAGTGTGTCTAGCTCTATTCAACCGGCAACCTGGCTACCTGCAACAATTAACAACAGTTCGTGTGATCAGTAAACAAGGACAGAGAAGAAACTCTTCCAACAACTAGCTTCATCCTGTTTGCAAAATCCTGCTGAAAACAATCACTAATGCAAGTGGGATTCAATGCCTGTATACAAGAAGGGTGAAATAACAGATTTCAAACATTCTAGCACGCAGACAACCTCCAGAATATCTCAAGTCAGTTTAAGCCGATGCACTGAAATACAGGACTTGTAAGTATAGCACCCCCACACACACAGAACGTATATATATGAAGTATTTTAAGTAATGTTTTATATTTCAGTTTCTATGGCCTGCTTACAAGGAAGCATCCCCACTTTTAAGAAAATCCCTTTTCAATTTTATGTATTAAAAAACTGTTACCAATCTGCTAACATGGGGAATCATAGAACAGCTTGGGTTGGAAGGGACTTTAAAGCCAATGCCACCCCAACCCCTGCTGTGGGCAGGGCTGCCCCCCACCAGCTCAGGCTGCCCATGGCTCCATCCAACCTGGCCTTGAGCGCCTCCAGGGATGGGGCACCACAGCTTCTCTGGGCAGCTGTGCCAGCACCTCACTGTTCTCCTAATATCTGACCTAAATCTTCCTTTTTAGTTTAAAGCAAGGAATCTGATCAAGAACTTGGAACAGAGGTTTGGGTTGGTTTTAGAGGATTGGGGTTTTTTTGTTGGATGGGCACATTAAGGTATCACTACTCATATTCTTTTGTTCTTCCCGTAAGTATCTACAAGGATTTCTTGATCAACTTCAGAAGTTTTAAGAGATATACTCACTACCCCCTGCTTTTTTGCCTCGCCGCCCTCCCCCCCTTAAGAAGAGCAGAATACATACCAGTAAAAGTCAGCGGTGTCTCTAACTTCATAAGGGCAACATCATTGTCTTTAGAATCTGTATCATAATTTGGATGGGAAATTACTTTTTGCACTCTGTATCCAGATGTTGACAGCATCTCATTCTGGTTCAGAATCCCAGCATAAACAGTCCAGACGTATGCATCAGAAAATTGTCTACAGAAAAAAAACAAGTGTTAGAAGATTTGCTTCGCTGGCAGAGAAATTCAGCTTACAGAACCACAGAATCACAGAATTGTAGGGGCTGGAAGGGACCTCTAGAGATCATCCAGACCAGCCCCTCTGCAAAGCAGGCCCCCTACCCCAGGCTGCCTAGGTAGGCATCCAGGTGGGTCTTGAAATCTCCAGAAAAGGAGAATCCACAGCCTCTCTGGGCAGCCTCTTCCAGTGCTCCATCACCCTTACTGTGAAGAAGTTCCTTCACATACTGGTGTGAAAATTCCTATGCTCCAGCTTATGGCCATTTCCCCTTGTCCTGTCCCCACAGACCTTTGAAAA